CCCCCGGGCCGCATCCAGCGGGGAATCTCCATCGGGAGGGAAGGAGCGCACCGCCCCGCCGGCCGCCTCCTCCCCGCCGGGCTCGGGGCCCGCCAGCCGCGGGCAGGGCAGCGCCAAGTTCCCCGTAAGCCCAGTAACTGGGGAGGAGGAGGGAGCGAGCGAAAATCCTCGGCAGATGCTGCCTATTAGAAATTTCAGTTATGCGCCTGAGCCGCTTCTGGAGCAGGAAAGGATCGAGCTCGCCCTTGCACACAGGCGGCATGCCCGTTTTTATCGGGGATCTTCGGCTCGAGAGATCATCTGTGAATCTGGTAACATTAAAATCCTCTAACAACTGCACCCCGCGGTGAGCGAGAGCTCAGCGCTCTGTCGGAAGACGCACTCTTGTTTCAGATACTTTTTTTTTTCTGGTTATGCAGGGGATTTACTTGAAACCTCAGAAAGCGCTCCAGATCCTGGGAGTTGACAGTGCAGTTTGAATCAGTCTGCCCAGTGCTTCGCCCAAACACACACACCTCTCGGCTACTGATTTCCTTAGCGAGAAAAGCCTTTAAAATGTGAATAATTGAATTTTGTGACTCAATTCAAAGAGGTGTGGTGAATGCCGACAGCAGCATTGTTTCACATTTAAATAGCAACGTGGTTTTTTAGTAGCATCCTACAGGGAAAAAAAAAAACAAGTAAACAAAAGCACCACGTTCCTGGTATGAAACTTGATTTATTTTCACTGGGATACCCAATAAAGGATTTGGTCAGGAACTGAGGACAGGATAAAACAACTAATCGGAGCAAGGAATAAATGAGGTTCAAAATGCCAGAAACGTGTACTTCTTTCTATGCATGCCCACTGGAAATTTTTCTGTCCTTTTCTTTTTTTACTTTTGGAGCCCCGCCCCTCATCTTAAATGCTTTGCATCTGGGGGAAGAATATGTATTTTTCTAGACAGGGACAAGGAGCAAGGCTTTGGAGGAGCTGCTCCTGGTGCTTTGCTCACAGTTGTTAGTAGCATGGAAGCTCGCAGCGTTCAGGCGTCTCAAGGGAGCACTGCCAGACCCAAACCTCACTGGCTTTGGGAGGTTTTGCGCCCCGAAGAGCAACGGCCTTATAGATAAATGTAATGTAAACTGTTCCCTCCAGCTGTGCTGTATGGTAAGTCCCGGGCGGGCAGGGGATCACAGATGTAAGCAGCCTGCTCGCTGTTGAGTTGGACTGTGCTGATTGCAGCTGCGAGTTACAAACACCGCAGCATCAAGTACGAGCCTTGACGTTTTCATAAATGGCCAACAAGCTCAAGTTGCTCATTTGAAAGACTCCGAACGAGAACCAGGAACGCAAACTCTGGGAACATCAGTGAACTTTTAAAAGCTGCTTTCATGCTGAGCTACTTACCGTCTCTGCTTTAAATTGGAAAGAAGGGCTAATCTGCAACTGACTGTCCAATAGTGTATTTGACAGGAGTACCGTTTCATTTTCCAGGTTTAAACTGTATGGTAACAACTTTTATAAAACAAAAACAGGCTGGCAAGATTAAAGACAACGTGGAAAGAGCAAGTTTTGCACACAACGAAAGGTTGTTTGAACCAGCTACGTTATCAGTTGATATTTGTTAATAATTTTACTTTTTGGACTGTTAAGTGGCATAATAATGCATTTTGTAGTATTCAACATTGTTCCAAAATACAGTCTTCTTCGATGTTACCAGTGTCTTCTGCAACACACTGCTAATGCACTGGTAACTTAGACGGTTTGTCATTGATCACAAGGATTTTAGTTAAGCACTGTCATCATGTATACAAAATTTCTAATCTACTTCTACACTGCTTGATGTCAAGGATTTAGAATAATTAATTTCAAGTAAACCAATATTATCCCATATTCTAATAAATCTCTATAAAGCTGCAGGCGTTCTGCAAGTACTAATTCAAAACGCCCCAAAATCCCACTTCACGATTGTCTGTTATAGGGAAGAAGGTGTAGTGGCGGGACACAAGAATTAAACGCTTAATTAAAAACGCAGTTTTTAGCTTCCTAAAAATTAGAGTAATTAATTTCAAGTAAACCAATATTATCCCATATTCTAATAAATCTCTATAAAGCTGCAGGCGTTCTGCAAGTACTAATTCAAAACGCCCCAAAATCCCACTTCACGATTGTCTGTTATAGGGAAGAAGGTGTAGTGGCGGGACACAAGAATTAAACGCTTAATTAAAAACGCAGTTTTTAGCTTCCTAAAAAGCTAAGCATTTGCTCTGGGTGAAGGAGAGAACTTTTGGATGAACAGATTGCAATGAGAACATTAGCATGCAGTATTTTCTAGGATGTGACTAATCTCAGACCTGTCTTAAATTTACTGTGAGGTTCTTAGGTTTTTTCAACAGGCCAAGTGTACAGTCACGTTCTCCACTCGTGTTTCCAGAGGCAAAATGTGTTTCAGTTTCTCCCTGTGTTTCTCCCTGTCTGTTGCTTAAGACAACCATACAGACATGTCATCGTTCATCCTGCAATGTGACATTGTACTTCATATGGAAGAATGAAATACAATGGTATTTTTCCCTTATTTTTCCATTTATCCATTATTGTTGTCAACCTGATAATGAAACTGTGTTTAAACTAATAAATTGAGAGCTTCCCAGTTGTTATATCCTTCTGCATCAATCTATTTCATAGATGTGAACAAAAATCAAGGACTTTCTTACTACAGCCCTATAAATATCTATTGTAAGACTCAGAGATCTAATTTTTCTGGTATCCCAAAGAAAAAAGGAGCCTTTTGCTTATTTGGATTAAATATATGGATTTTGATATATTCTTTTTAACCGCAGAAATGTGTGAAAAAACACGAGAACATTAATACAGCTATGAAAATATTTTCTTTCCCATTTAATCTTATTAGAAAGATCATTTTCTTCTGATACGGACAAAACGAGATCTGCAGAGCTCTATACAGAAAATTATTGAAGGTGTCCAGTTAGGTTATAGTAGACTAGAGAACAGTCTCACTGTTGTTTGCCTGCCATAATTCATGCATTTAATGCACTAAATTTCAGGACATCAGCTTTTTTTTTTTTTACAATTCCAACTGGAAATTTAAATCAGGACTTTAACTGAAAAAGATTAAATGAAAGACTGTAATGCAAGACTTCTGTTTTACGAAGTAGAATTGAGAGTGGCAAATAACTGTGTTGAACTATTTATTCTGCCAAAAATTTTTCATGGATAAGGAATTAGAAAATCCTAGATGGCTCGACAGCTTAAGCAAAACTTTGGGGTCAGCTGCTAATTACTGAAACAGCAGCATGTTGATTCTTGGAGATTGCTCCCAGAGGGAAAAACGGTGTGTAAGACCGGCAAAACCTGAATAGCAGAAGTCTCAGAGAACAAGATGACCGTTATGAATATGTTAGCAGGTGCAGCAGATCTGTTTGGTATATCATCTAAAATCCCTTCAAACTATTTTCTTCTTAGGCGTGCCAAAACACAAAACCAAAACCTGGTAGGTTTTGTGCAGCTATGCTTCATAATTCACAGGTGCCAAGGAACAGAACTTCTGTCAATGCAACCGCCTGAGTCTTAGAAACAGAACTAAGAACAGAAAAGGCTTCATAAGTCATTTCTTGGGAATGACATAATGATACAATTTCCAGGAAGATGCTGGAAAATTTGAATCATGGTACCAGTTACCCTTAAGAAATGACAATTTGCGCTCAATGTCCTCTATACTTCCCTGACAGATAACAGAAGAAACTGAAAAGTTATGCTACATTTGAGTAAGTCTGCATGCCCATCTTAGGTCTGGATGAACTTGTATTCACAAGCATTTTTAGTTTAGCATTAAATGCCAGCACCAGTTTTCAGCTTGTTTTGCTCTCTGGAACTTTCAGGGATTGGGCTTGGCTTTCAGGGATTGGGATTTAAGGGCTTGGCCCTTAAAATCTCAAACAAGGTCATATCTGATGAATAAGAACATAGTCATATGCAGCACACTGTTGCCCATGAGAAGACCCTTTCTCTTGATTCTAGGGAGGATTTTCCAACTGAACGTTCAAGTTGTGTGGAAGACATCCCTCCAGGCTGTTTTGGCTTCTTGAATATTGGTGGGTGTTGCTAGCTTTAGGCAGCAAACTTGACCATCCTGTTTTTGAGAGACACGGGTGGTCTTTTAAGGGTCCAGCTCTGTTTCACAATCTCGGCGATGCTCTGTGCCCTTTCAGTGACTGCAAGACTTGCCAGTCTATTGAGGGCTATTTTTTTTCTGTCAGCCCAAAGAACCTTCCTTATGGCTTCACTCGAGGTATCACTCTGCTCTGGTCCAATGCCTCTATCAACACTCTTCTACAAAAGGCAGAAGAGGAACATTGTCTAAGTCTTTGGGATGCAGACTTCAGTCCTTGGGCAGCATCTGCGGAAAGGTCTTTCTTCTGCAGGACTGCTTTGCTGTCATTTACAAGTTCCTGACCTAACTAGGAAGATGCTACCTATGTTCCAATGCACTTATACGGTAATAGATGCCAGACTATACCTCTGGATCACTCAAATGTGGCCTATTCCATCTGTTTCTCCTGATTTTATCACAAAGGTCATGGCTATACTATATTTGCAAAATACACCCCAACACTATTAGGAAAACTTGTCAGCCTACCTGATCCTAATCTCAAAGGTCATACGTATAGATGAAGGTAGGTAATACCATCATAGTCCTCTACATCCACAAACAGAATTGTGTGAGATCCTTTCAGAGTGTCCAAAGATGGTCAATCTCTGGTTTTAAAGCAGCAATGAAAGCTGCAATCATTTCCTATTGTAGGATCAAACCAGCATTATGCAGATCAGTTCTTCTCTATCATAAGCTATGCTAGTGAATTGTTCTCTGTGAGTGTCGTAATAGGAGTAATCTGTCTTATGATTTCATCTGCTTCCTTTAATGACAGAAAAATTCTCATGTTCATATTTGGAATCCCGTTTTAAACCCATCATCATCTGCCACATCCTACCAGAAGTGAAGTCCTTATTTTAGATTTTGTCTGGGTAGATTATCAAGCAGCCTATCGCCTTGTGGCACAGATGACTGATGGCGGGAAGGGCCATGAGTCTAACTGAAAAAGGCCAGTATACAGTTTTTGCTTGACAACTGAGCACATTCTTGTACTCATTTGCTAACATTCTAAATAGGGCTAGTGAGGTGTGGTGGTCTGATGAATGACAAACTTATGACTTCTTTATATGAAAAAGGAGACAAGTTAGAAAATTAACTGTTAAAGAATTTTTCAAGGCTTTTTTTTTTGCCATCACCTTTCTTTTCCATCTACTTTTTGTTTCTAAGGGTTTTCAAATTCTGTGCCAGCTTGTTCAGTCCAGAAGCTTCAGGAGCATAGGATAATACGCAGTTGGGAATTACCTCTGTTGCTGCCTCAGCCTCTGAAAAGACCGCAGCATCACCAGAAGCTAAAAAAGTCCTCACCCAGAAATGTAAACTAGTTTCACCTCCTTTCCCCTCCCCTTGCAAATACATGGCAGAGCATGTGGAAAACCACTATTTGTAGTACATGCTATGCTTTATATTCCTACAATATCTACAACGTGAGCTGACCATTCTCAAGATGACAGTAAACCCAATCAATCAGTTGTTCACAAATTACGTTGTCCAAATAGAAGATTCACTTTTGAGCAACTCATCTGCAAAATCTGCTACTTTTTGTAATGAGAGCCACTACTGACTCTTCACAAATAACCTTAATCGATTAATACAGGATATATCAGGATCTGGACACCAAGTTTGAAAAGCTGTTTTCAGTGGGGAAACAGAGTAATTCCCTGCCAGAGGAGCAGTTGTTGCTAAGAAATCCTATTCCAGTAGCATTTAGGAGATAAAAGTTTCGTGTTCTAAAGTACTCAAAGCAGTGGAAAAACTCTATGATCTAATGAAGTCCTCCAAATTGACAAAAATGTTAGATTGCACTTTGCAGCACTATACAGGAAGTCCCAAAACTAATTAGTTTCTCTTTTTTATACAATTGCATTTTCAGAAATTGTTCTTGCTGTCACAGCTGGCCTTGGGACTATTTACATATGTTTTCCACACGTTTGGGCTATCATTCATGTTCAGAGAGTGCTATATTCCTTGCACACAAATACCAAAGGAAATTATCACAATCTGAGCAGTTTTGACTCCTGAGGCTTATTTTAATTACAATAGGGATAGCAAAACAATTCCAAGGATTGACTTTTTTTCTCCTTAATTGTGGAATCAGCAATGGTCATATTCAGAACTTTTTAATTTTAACTTTTGACTTTTCCTCTTCTTGTTTACCTCTCTTAAAACCTCCTTTATATGCTTTTTATGGTATTAATTCATAGTTTATATGGCAGTTTGTTAATATTTTCAAGATATATTTTAATTGACCTGAAGTTGTCAAGCATCCTTTGCAGGATGATGGTGTGAAGAATTATGATGTTCTGTGAGTTATTTTCCTGCAGGAACATCTACCATACAATCTGGAGGAACACAGGAGGAAAACCTATTTTCTGCCCTCTCGTACCAAGAAAAAAAGATAGGAAAGGTTGCCTTCCTAACTTCTAGTTACCTTTCTGAAGGTAACCAGTTCTCTGTGAAGTAGATGGTTCATGAGAGCTTTTCAGATCTAAGCAATGGCTGTTCAGTGTAATTTCAATGAAAGAAATCTAGATCATTAATTTTCTCCTCTCTCCATAAATTCATCCTTTTCTATCACTATGATAAAATTTATATTAAGAATATCACTATTTCTAACCCCTAGACAATTGCACACTTTCCCTTCCTACTTTTTTTTTTTTAAAGAGTCTTTCTCCTTCCCCTCTCATTCCTTCTTTGTTTTTGTTTCTGTTGCTCTGTTGCTCTCATAACCTGTTTCTTTTCCATCATCTCACTTTTTCTAGCCTCCTTGAAGAATGCATCACACCCTTTCAGGCTAACCCCCAGGGTACAATGCTTTTCACAAAGCACAACTCCTGATGATATCTGCCCAGGCTACAACTGGATATGATAGCCTCCTTTTTCTTTCTAGCTGGAATCCTGCTTTTCTGTTGGCTCCAGTCCCAACATCAGGGAGGTCCTCTTTGGTAAACACAGAAAAACCCTGAGGCCTTACCACTATGCAGGCTCATTTTAAACCCTTTATAGAAGGAAAAAAGTACCTACCCAATTTGAAATGAAATTTAACTGTGCTTTATTTAATTTTTCAGTCTTAGAGGATAGGGAGCTTTTCTGAGCAAATTGAGAGAATAGAATATTGTATGTCTCTTGGTATCCCACAAGCTGTGCAATCACTATATAATACTTGAAATCTCTTAGCAATTTAAGGCTTTGAAATTCAAATACTACTCACTTCTACAGAACCCTGAATTATAAAGTGTCCCAGTGTCACACTGAGATGGTCTGCTTTGCTGGGGCGGTTAACATCTAAACAGAGAAAATAACCTGAGCTGACCAACGAAACCCAGTCAGACTTTGTTTACGTAGAGAAGCATGAACGCTTCTAGAAATTTTTATCTAAACTGAAGCTTAACTTCCCAGTGAGAGCCTTTGATGTCACAGTGAAAAGCACAGAAGGTGAGAGGGTTACGTGTCAGAGCCGGGAGGGATCATTTAGACAGGAAGAGGTTTATAAAGTTTTCATGAGTATCTGAAACAATCTTTCAAAATGTTTTAAACGTACAGGGGGCTGTCTGGTAAGTTGCTTGTCTTACGATATGGGGGGGAAAAAAGGCAAAAAATGATTCTTACACTTGGGATTAGGCCACAGCATCAGGTGACGCATGGTATCCCAAGCAGGTTTCGCATCTGGTGTCAGCCTGGCTTTGTTTTTGTTTGCTGGCACTTACTGCTTCTGATACCAACGCAGGGAGGTCCTAGACCTTAGTTAGGGCTCCTGATCAGTACAGTCACACAAATTTTCACACTTAAATGCCTAAACATGCTATCACCAAAATGTATATGCAAGTGAGTAAGTAAAACTGGCATGTAAATCTCCTTTTTAATCAGGATTATTTTATTACTATGCAAGTCAACCCACTTTAGATTTGCAAAAATCAAGGTGGTAACTCCACCCCGCTGCAGATGCGTTGAGCAAGACAGAAAGTAAAGGCAGACATTCATGTGCTGGCGGGCACCAAACAGCTGTTTCCTGGGAGCTACCCCACATGACTTCAGGTGTGAGAGACCCCATCTGCTTAGGACACGTACCTGGCTGTAGCTCTGGATGGCACCTCTGGCCTGACTGCTGCGGGCTGGAAGCTGGGCGGCTGCTGTTTCGCCCAGGGCAAGGGTCTGGTTGCTGTGGTAGCTGGCCGAGTACTGGAAGGACCCTTCAGGTTTGGAATTGAGTTGGAGCGCACTCTGGGAGAGGAGGCTGGGCCCTGCAGGAACAGGATTCGGGAGCAGTCAGAAAGTCTCAGTGAAAGAGCGTACCTGTATTATCAGTTGAGTGAGCCTCAAAATTACCAGATGTATGTGGCTTCAGCTTTTCACAGTTTGGCCTTTCAGTAATAAAAATCACATACATTAAATTGTTTCTTTACCACTCAGTCATTATTATTGTGTTCAAGCTACAGACCACATTGCTTTCTTTGCAAAAAACGTATGGTTTTGACCAGTGAAGAAATTCTAAGCCTAAACAAACCCAACCGTACTATTTGATAAATAAGTCTTGGGTTTTAGCTCAGAATAGTTGATGAGTTTTCTTTTTTTCTAAGGATAAGCCTTGTTTATTTCACTTAATTATATCCAGTCGTTCTGCATGGGGAATGCTAACTTGTCCCTCCCTGGGCCCCCAGCACATTAGATCTATTGATTACTGCCACTCTGTCCTGTACACACGGTGATGTAATAACTTTGGTGCCTGTAGGGATGGATGGCAGCCTTTGAAATATTAATAGCTCCTCTCATCATGTAGGACTCACCCTGATCTTGGTGAATCTTTGATGACTGTTTTGTCAGCCTATCTTATCTTCCCCATCGCAGCACTGCGTGGCAGGAGAGCCAAGTGCAGGCAGAGAGCTTAAATTGGGGCTGCCAGACCGAAGGGCATGTCGGGAGCGTGAACAGTGACACTTTCCACAGTTATTTAGTTGTTCTGTGAGACTAAAATACGTTCTAATATTCATTAGGTTCATGTACAAGTGATTTAGCTTATCACGTACCCATAGCAAATTCCCCAACTTTTGCCCTGAGAGCATGTATCAGACAGGGAAAGGCTCTTACACCGCGCTGTTGCGTGGTTTAGGCATGACCTCCCACAACCGCTTTTAATGGTGAACTCATTCTGTCTCCATACAAGAAGAGCTACATTAAATAATACCCACCTAATCCTTCCCTATGCCTTCACTGATTTTAGTCTCTTCAATTTTCAATAAACTAGCTTACTCTTCCATGGTGTCCGGGCCCAGCAAGTGAAATACAAGAGGAGAGAAAAGAAGAGGGTTATGCCTTGGCCACTGCATGAGTTACAAAGAAGTCTACCTTCAACCCAACAGCTATCATCTACAGCGTATTCAGCGGCTCCACAGGTTCATCTTCTGGTTAGCACTAACAAGCTCATGAGAACATAGAAGGTGACACAAACTTACGGGATGTGAAATGATTATGTTGATTTTCCTCCTACAGAACGTGTGAAAAGTTCAGTTTTAAAAAGACTCACAATGGCAAAATTCCAATAAATTTCACCAGAAATAACTCCCAGCACATTCCTGATACAAAGGCCAAATTTTATGACCTTTAAGTCTTTGCTACGAGGATGTACAGCTGCTCCAAAAAGATTTCCACTTAGAAAACGTGCAAACAACCCCACCCCCAAATTAACATGGAGAGTATTTTTTCCCCTAGCCTGTTTCTCAGAAATGGCAGAACCATTATAACTGAAATTTTCCAAAATCCAACCCAAACCGCTCACATTATAAACAAATCATAGTAGGCTATGTGAAGTGGAAGTGTTCGCATCTAAGTGTAGACTGGGATTATGACACTATTTTACATATCAACACAATTTATACTGCAAAGTCAATTGCAGTCATCAGAATATTCCAGATATAGGACAAATTCAGAAAGAAGTTCTGGTCCTTGTATTTTCCTTACAAGTACAGAAGGAGGCAGGGCTCCATGTATGCTGTGAGGTTATTAAGAATGTATCATGTGCATGGGAGAGCTGAATTTAATCCTGCATGGGTGCTTATAAATCCAACATTTGGTAGTTTTCCATTCCCTGACTCTGCGAATAGGGTTTACTAAGCTTTTTCCATTTAACTGGTTTTGTTGCAAATTTTGTTCTTTAATGAAAGAAATATTTTCACAGATTTTTTTTAAAGAGCATAAAGAAAATACAGGCTTAGTTTTAAAATATATCTGTAGACTTCATTTTAATCTTTTGGATTTTGAATTTTCACTGAGAATTTGCCTGTGATCAAGTGACGTGATTAAGTTCAGAAAATTCACAAAAGCATAACTTTCCCAGGAGGGGCAAAACTTGCAGCAAGAAAGCAATTTTTGTGCATGAAAGTGTTTGCAGTCATTCTGAAAGTAATTATGCTGTGACATTTCTAAAGCTTAAATAATGATTAAACTATCACATGCTATGAACTCAATATGTTTAAATTTTCATTGCATCTGGCTTTCAAGTGTTCCTTTCATATTACTATGGCTCACTAGGGGATTGACATAGCCAGCTAGAAACGCATACATGGGTTCCCTGCACCATTTAGCCTAAACATTTCCATGCACTTTAAGAAACTTATCCAAACTGTAGAAAAAAATTTTTAGTAAAAAGTTTGGAGCACATAGTTTTAAGTTCAGTAACTACTGTATAGCAGTTTTTATTTTGTACCTTAACAAGCAGTAATGAACAATTAAAACGTACATACATTTCAATAAAGTAATTACAAAGTCATGTGAGAGAGACAGCTGGATAGATATTTAAATTTTAAATAAGCCCGCATTTCTCAAGCAAACATAGAACAGAGTTGTGGCTGCTCACCTGTCAATAACTAAGTCTAAACCAAGCGTACAAACTACAAGATACATTAGAGATCAATCAGCATGATCTTGAAAAAACACAAGTTCCTTTTTCAGGATTTAGGGACTACAAGCAGCCCTGTCTTGTCTGATAGGGAAAAGATGGATCGCTTTTCTCATTAACATTCCTGAGATTTCAATCTGAAGGCAAAACCAAACCTTCTGAAGAGCCCGCAGCTCACTCAGAAGAGAAGAAAGTGGTTTGTTTGTGTACTTCTACATGCTGATGGCTCTTGACAACAAACTACTGTTTCTTCTTGGCAAAAATTTAAACTCTGTTGTGTTGGTATAAGAAAGTGTTCATACAACTATTTTTCATTTGTTTTCAGAAGAGTTAAGGCAGCTGGAAATTCTCTATTTTCAGTTAGGCATTGGAAATAACTAGTTAACTACTAGAACAATTCAGTCTTATTTGTTCCCTTAATGCTACGTAATTAACTACAAATCTTCAATTTAAAATAAGCTTGAAAACAAACACTTCCAGCTTCGTAAGGTTTAGTTTAGCAGATACCAAGGATTTGTAGTATTGCTTTAAAAATTTGTACTACATTTTGTTTCTATTTGGGGGTATGGGGAAGATATAACTACCTTTTTCCCCCTATGTTTTTTCACCGCTACATAAAAAAAATCTATTTGCCTTATGAAAGAATATTAGTGTTGGATTATTCATAGTGGATAGTACCAAATTTTCATGGATTCAGTCAGTGCCACTTTCCTCCTGTATTAAAATAGTACAGATACGAGTGCAAATTCAGGAAACTAAGTCAGAGCCATCATACTGCAAGAGACGCCACTGTGGACTAACTTCAAAAGCTGGAGCAGGGCATAGTAATTAACTCTTTAATTTGTCTCCAGTGTGGTGGACACGTACTCCAGACAATACCTTCCTCTTCCTCTTAACCTCGAGCAGAGCAGTGTGCGAGGCTCCCCGCCTTCCTCACCTTGGCTGCTGTAACCCGGCTCAGCAACGAGCTCAAAGGAGAGGGTGAGGGTGTGCATCTTGCTTGGGACACAGACAAAGTGCACTTAAGCGGGGGAAAGCTGCTGGAGCACAGAGAAGACCAGGCAAGAAGAGAACAGAAGAGGATGAAGGACACGCCTACATCAGGGAGCCAACCCACAATGAAACCTCAGAGATGATGGAGAGCAGAGGACTTTTCTAGGAATCAGAGAAGGGAAACAGGAGTTTCCTTTGCAGTCTGGAGACCCAGGTGCTGGCAGGCACGGCAGAGTTAGGGGAAAGGAGTCACCCATTCAGACAGTGAGGGGAGGGGGCAGGCTTCTTGTGAAGCCCTTTTAATTAGTTTATATTACCCACCCCTCTTACTGGCAGTTATGTTGGCTATTATATGACTATTATTTTTCTCTTTAATAGTTTAAGAGATTTGGAGTACCTGAGAGTACCTGGCACACCTACTTCAAGCAAAACAGGGAAGAGGAGCAGATGCAGTGCAGGACTCAGCCCTACCCTGAGTCCTGTCACTAAAGAGAGCAGCACCGAAGCCCACGCTTGCTACCTTCCTGCCATATTGCATTTGACAAAATAAGCATAGCCTGGCATTACACTCAACAGGCTGATTCACGGCATTTAGTACGTTGCATATGGCCATAAATGTAAACTGGTGAGTTACAAACTCCAGCAGAAGCCATAGTTGAAGGAGACCTTCCACATCTACCTGCTTCTGTCAAGGGGGGAGTCAGGGAAGAGGGAGGGAAAGGTTGCAGAATAAGCCCCACCGTGCACAGCGGGGGCTATTCCTGTGCCCCTCGCCTGTGAGGGATAGGGTATTGCACTGGCAGTGTTTCTTCATGGTCCGCTGTTTTTCTTTCTGAATAACAATACAATGTGCAATGCTGCAATAAGGCACAGTGTAGCTATTTAAAAACCAAACCAAGGAAGTGAGTGGTCTTAAATGATGAGATTATTATTAATTCAAGGACATCACAGTAACAGTTGATTACGGGAAACCAAAATGACACAAAGAATCCAGGTTACTACCATCATCCATGGCTGGGTCAAAAATAGAGAAAAAAATGAAAATAAGAAAACATTTGTCCTTTTATTTTCAAGAGCAGTATTTCTTTGGAAATAAAATCTTTTGCCTGTCGTTTCTGCTCTCTTCAGACCACCTCCTCTTCCTTCTTCCATCATTCAGTAAAAAAAAAAAAAACCCAAACCAATCAAGGGGGAAAAAAAAAGTCACAACCTAAAACTTTCATTTTGAATTTTTTTTTTTAAATAAATTATTCTTGAACAGTGAGTGTTTGCATGCAGAAATACTTTATATGGCTGGTTCAGAACAGCAGAATACTAGGATACTTCTCAGTACCTGCATGTACTGTTCTAGCTCTA